TTTAATAATTTTGAGTATGTCACACTGTATAGTCTTTTTAATTACTGTATTGCTATTAATTTTATTGATTAATGGTAGTTTTCAATTTTATTTTTATGAAGGTTTTATAGTTTTATGATATCCTATTTTTTTTCCATAAAAATAAATACTGTAAAATGATGATGCAAAAATTATATTGTTAAAACTACTTTAAAAATTAAATTTTTTTCAAATCTATATGCTTTTTACTGTTGCTTATCCAAATTATTTGACATGTAATAAAATATAAACAATGCTTATAAAAATTTCTCTGTAACTAAAAATTTTTTATTAGATCTAGTTATTATTCTTCAAAATAAATCAAAAATAAATTTTTTAACTTTTTTACATTTCTTGAAATTCTGAAGTTTATTTGGAAACATCTGCTATTCTCATCAGGCAATGAAATTTAAGGCAATGTTTTTTTGTTTCCTAGACTATGTTTTAATCCCATTTCAGATAAATATTTCAGTTTAATGGTTTTACAGCATTATTGTTGAGAGAAGCATTATAATCATACTGATATGCAATGGTGCTACAAACAAACTAAATAAATAAAAAAGATTTTATGTAAGAAATCACAGTACATTGTTTAAATATATAGTAGATTCCACTTACTGTAGTCATAGCATTATCAAAGTTACAGAATCCCAAAAGAAATAATTTATAATATAATTATATCTATATATACAATTAATAAATTCATGACTGTCTTTCTGTCTATCCATCTGTTTGTTCGAGTATCACCTGAGAATGGCTTAAACAATTTCTATAAACTTTATACATATATTCAGGACAGTCAAGGGAAGGATACAGACTACTATCAAAATCTCACCTGCCTGTCTCCTGGTCAAATATCACATAAGAACAATTGTGTCCTTCTCAAAATATAGAATGCATTTAGAATAAAGTTTGATATAATATATAAGACCCAACCAAAAACAATTTTACAAGTTTATTATAAGTACAGATTTTTTTTTAGGTACCTCAGCTAGTACATTATAAAAATTTCAATTATTGTAATCCGTATTTGGTTACCATCATCATCTTTAAGCCATTTTATGAATGTAAATACACAAAACTAATATAAACACCACCGTGTAATTCTAACTAGGATAAATTTAATTCAGCAAACATTTTCAACCATACATTAAAGGTCATCATCAGGTAATGAATTTAGAATAATTTTTGAACAGTTATTAGTTTAAAGAAATCATTCTTTTTTTGTAGTTGTTTTAATTTTACTATTTTCATCAAAAATTAAATTGTTGTTGTTTTATAATGTTAAACGGATCTTTATTTACTAAGATTTAATTTAGGAAAGAGTTTATCTTATAAAAGTCAAGGACTCAGCAAGTTTTGAAATTTCTCATAAATATGAATTTTTATACATTACTAAATCAACTGATTCAGTCTTTCTCTCATTATTGAATTACTTATATTGTACATATAATCCTAATAATCATAGCATTTCTAGTAACATATAACAGAGATCAACTGACTCATGACTGATAATTTTAAAAACTGAAGTGTAACTTGTATTATAGATGAATTTATTTTATCAAATGTCAAAAATTATGTATGAGTAATGATACTTTAAATTTCTTTTTATTTTTTACTACATATCATTATAATATATAACACCTGGATATCCTTCTACATAAATCATTTTTTATATTATTTAAACAATTCGGGCAAAATTCCAAGATCAATTTCCTTTTTTATCATCATAATCTAATTCATATTAATAATAATAAACAGAATAAAAAAAACTAATGTATAATTTTAAAAATTGGTTTTTGAATATAATTTCAATAATTATATTATTTATTAATTATTTATAACTTTTTTAGTTTATAAGATGTTTGTATACAAAAACAAGGTTTTCTCAAGTACTCCTGTCTCTATTATAAAAATTCTACACAACTGTTCTAAAAAGATATTCTAAATTGCTTTAAAGAATTCAAAAATAAAATGTCCTCATAATTCAATTAACATCTATAATAATAAAAATGCTAAGATTTTTATTATTATAGAATTTTATAAATGTCAATTTTGATATTAAAAGAAAATTAAAATAAATAGTTCAATGACATTTTAGTTTATGAAATAATATCACATTACAATGAAATAAAGTACATTGAAATTGATCTTGCAAAAGCTTAAATTCACTTATATAGATTAAATCTTTTTATTGTATCAAATAAAGCAATGTTTATTATTAAATAAAATTATTTTCATAATGATATGAGTAAAACTAACAATAACTTATTTTCAATCACAAAATAAGATGACTGTTTATATACATATTTTTATTTTAATTTACTAAAATATTATGAATAGTTCTAGATGATGTTTAAAAAATGTTGATATAAAGCTTAATTAAAAAAAATACATTATTGCAAAGTTTTAATATAAAAACATAGAAATTTGTTTATTTTCTATTTAAGAGAAAATTATTTTTAAAACATTTGAATACTAATAAATTAATAAAATATATTTTTAATAATATAAAAAGTAATTTTCTTAAATTAATTAGTAAATTAAAACATATGATAAACTTTAGTGTCATCTTATCAATTTATGTTATAAATTAATAAAAAAAAACCTAAAATATACATTACTAAACATCTAAAACAATAAATTTTAATGCCTTTTAACATATAATTGAATTTAATAATAATTATCATGAAATGATAACTACTTTTAAGGTATCATCAAGTACAATCTATAACAAAAGTAAATTGTACAGTATATAATTAAAAGTTGTATATGTTATTAAGAAAATTTAGAAGGCTATTAGCCTAATAACTATAAATATTGAAATAAAACATGTATTTCCTTAAAAATAAAAATACTTTTAAGGAAATAAATTTATTATTTCTTTTTTAATAGAAGTATTATAAAGAGAAACAAAACACCTTTTTTGCCGAGAAATAAATATAATTGTAAAAAACAAACGTTTTCAGCCCAATTAATAGGCCATCTTCAGGTCAAAAATGAAAATGGAACGTAAATGTTCGATGAATAGAACATAAAAATTTTAAATCAAAAATTTTTTACAAGAGAAATAACAGAAGATTATATAAAAATTAAAATAAAACAAAAAATAAAATAAATCTTCAATGTACTAATTCTGGTCCAAGTTTTTAGTAAATTTCTTAACCAAGTACTTCCATGCCGAAGGCAGGCTCTCGGCATCCCTCGCATTTAAACAGCCTTCTCCTATCCTACTTCTGCATATTTCAATCTTCTATGCCGTCATTGCTAAAGTTGGGGAAGACAAGAGTTTGATGATTGTTGCCTCGTCCCATTTTACTTCAGAGCCTTGGGCTTGTGCCATTTGGGACAAAATCGTTGAATTAGATGCTTTTCTTATGGCATATAAAAGAACATAGATATGCCATAAGAAAAGCATCTAATTCAACGATTTTGTCCCAAATGGCGCAAGCCCAAGGCTCTGAAGTAAAATGGGACGAGGCAACAATCATCAAACTCTTGTCTTCCCCAACTTTAGCAATGACGGCATAGAAGATTGAAATATGCAGAAGTAGGATAGGAGAAGGCTGTTTAAATGCGAGGGATGCCGAGAGCCTGCCTTCGGCATGGAAGTACTTGGTTAAGAAATTTACTAAAAACTTGGACCAGAATTAGTACATTGAAGATTTATTTTATTTTTTGTTTTATTTTAATTTTTATATAATCTTCTGTTATTTCTCTTGTAAAAAATTTTTGATTTAAAATTTTTATGTTCTATTCATCGAACATTTACGTTCCATTTTCATTTTTGACCTGAAGATGGCCTATTAATTGGGCTGAAAACGTTTGTTTTTTACAATTATATTTATTTCTCGGCAAAAAAAGGTGTTTTGTTTCTCTTTATTTAATTGCTGAGTGCTTTTGATATAGAAGTATTATAACTGAAAATAAAGATTTAAAAGTAAATTATTGTGGTAATTTTATCATTATAATAATTTTAAAAAACCTTTCTGTCCTGTAGACACTAAGAGGACAGAAAGTTTACCAAAATATACTGTGCATATTGATTTTTTTATGTTTTTCTTATTTTTATCAGTATCTAGTTTATTAAATACAGTATATCTTTTTATTAACAATTAACTTATTTTCGTTGCAAAATGGTGCTACACTTAATTAAATTTATTCATATATATAAATAAAATCTTACTCTTAATAAAATGATACGTTACAGTCACGGATCTACAACTACAAAATATATTTTCTCAATAAAAACTTTGGTTTGACAACAATTACCATTAAACAAGACAAATATATTTTAGCATTCGATTTTTACATTTTTCTGTAAATCGCATCAAATATGATTACAAAACCAATTCAGTCTAACACACTTCCAATACAATAACTCCAATTGATTAAATGGTATCCAAATAATCCATCAGGGACATAAATTAAAATTCACTCTTGCATTTCTCATATTTACATAGGAAGTGTTTGCAAACCAGAAACTTTAATTTGTTCTTAGAAATGTTTTTCTATGTGAAAAAAAATATTGCACTCAAAATACATCATCTTATTTCCTCAAACAGGTTTAATTAAGTACCAGTTCATTATTTTTAAAAAGGGAATTATTTCTAGCATAAGAGGAAATATGTATATATATTTTTCATTCCATTCATATAAATACCGTACCTACTCAATAGAATAATGTTGTTAGTAATTTTATATATCTGTTGTAACTTTTCTTTTCGTTAACGATGAGTTTAAGCACATCTAAGCTTATATAACTTAATAGCAAATCAAGAAAAGATAATATAAATATAGCACTTGTGAATGAAGAATTGAATTAAAGTTAACTTCTCCGCTGATAACAGTTCTTAAAAATAAACCGCGCGATAACCTTTAACTGATAACTTTGTGATAGCTAAAAGTGATGATAGCCTTAAAGAATACTACCAACGATTCCCAGATTATGTTTTCGTCCTGTATTAAGTAAAAATACTCACCCAAAACGTAGAGCCGCAAAACACTTCTAAAGCACTCGACGCCATCTTGGTAATGAACTAAATTCACCATATCAATATTTATGAATTTCCCATATTATAAACAAACCTTTAAAAATAATTCTGATAAGTTTTATAATAATATCCCTATTAATAAATTATCGTCACTTTTAATAATAGGTAACTTCTTAATATTTTAATAATTTTACATTTATGTTCGTTAATTAACAGCAGGTGGCAGAGTAGAAATTTTAAATTTGTACTGTACTTGATAGAAGTCATAGTGCGTTTCAATCGCACATCTTCGACCATTTGTTTTAGAGTGCATGTTTATGTTTGTATTTTATCCGATATCGTATTACAACAGCGTATTTTATTGATAGAAAATAATATATTGTACAATACACAGCGAATATTTTTGTATAGTAAAAACCTCAATAAATATGACGAATAGATAGAAATATTTTACGCTTGCTTAAAAAATAAATTATTTTAAATAAAATTTAAACTGTTTTAATAACATAATTAAAAATTTTAGTCTGCTTTTATTTAACTTTACCAAAGAAAAACTCAAGAAAAAAAAATTTGACTGTCGTCTAAATTCTCATAACTTTTTACTTGGCGCAATTTTTTACATTCAGTTGTTTTTAGTTGAGTAGCAATTCTTTTTTATTTTTTTTGTACCGGTTAGTGATTGTGTTATTATGTCAAGACCTAAGACGATGACGTACAGGGCGCTCGGTGATGGCCGCCGACCAAATGCTCTCGATACACCGTTTAGCAAAATCGTTATAAAAAATTTTAATTCGCATAAATTTGAGCTTTTGCCATTTTGGATAACATTATGAATAAAATTCATTTGTTTCGGTGCAATTTTATTTTTATAAGCATAAAATTGAAATAGCTCTATGGAAAACCCCGTGAACTTTGACCTATCGACCAGAAAGTTTCGCCGGCATCTTACTGATAACGAGAAAGGCTTATCTTTATTTGGCACGGCAGTTTAAAATTTCAGTTTTCTAGACCCAGTAGTTTCTTTCTCTACGAGAGTCTGCCGTGCCAAATAAAGAAAAAAAAAAGAAAATAGAGCTTTTTTTGGCGATTTTTGCACCTTTCGATTAGTTATATTTCGGTAACCGCTTTACAGAAAATCTTGAAATTTTGCACACTACCTAAGAAAACAATTATCTTTCGAACGAAATATGCAGAATTACTTTACATGTTTGGGGCGGAGAAATCGACCCCCGAAAATCGGCAACTCTGATTCCTATATTAGGCTACAGTCAGTCAGTGAATTTTTTTACTTGGCAGGGAGTCACTGTCGTGACTTTAAGAAAAATTTTATGAAAAGAAAGATTCAAAAAATTCCAAAGATAGACAAAATTAAGAACGTGAGTTAAGGGAAGAGATAAATTAAGAGTCTGAATGGAACAAAAATCTAAATCAGAATTATTCATGATGATAGTGATATAGACTAATTTTAACACAAGAATTAACGGGAATTGAAAGTCTATTCTTTCTATTGCAAAATTAATTTACGTTCATAATCTTAGAAATAACACTAAAAAACAAGAAGTGTTTAACCGACTAAATAAACGCATAGCGAAAAAAAAACAAAATTCTTACAAAAATTTAAACTAAAATTCTGTATTCAGGTTATCAGCTTTACAAACAATTATTTGTCTTGGATTAATATTAAATAAGTTATAAGAAAAACGAAAAATTACAGGATAAATTATCTTTACCTTGTTTATAGAGCTTACCGCAGCTATCTTCATATCTGAAGTTATGTAAAATTCAAAATTGCCTTTCTGTATATACTACGTATGTACGTTGTATATATAATATGATGTATTATTTATATGTTAACAAATATTATCATTTAATCTCGATGACAGACAAAAATTACGCATCATTTAACCGTTTAGTTTTACGTGCGGAGCGGCACGCTTAACGTCACGTGCGGGAATGAAATTTAAATTAAATGATAAAGATTTATATTAAATAAATAGTATAGTATAAAGACTTAAAATTTTTATTAGAAAACGTTTTAATTAAGTTCCAGTTATTTAAAATTGGTACATGTTAAATTGAATTTGTTTAATGGGTGTAAGGTGTGATGGAAAATGAAAAGCCATGGGCGATGGGCTAAGGGATCTCCAAGGATGCCTCCTAGGAAGACTTTCTATGAGAAACTGGTCCCTATTTAGGTATTAGACATGCGAAAAATCCAGGAAACTCCATTATCAACTCGTTAGTCAAGTGAGAACCCAAGATCGTTCAGTGGTTTCATCCACTTAATCATTGGTGGCCCATTTGTGAATGAGAACATGAAACATATTTGTTTGATTTTTTGAGTTTTCAATAAAACTATTAAAATTTAAAATGTACTGATCGAAGGTTATTACATTTTTTAACTCTTCGCTATCTACCAATAAGAAAATTTCTGAACCGACCAGAGTTCGATTCCAAATTTTCTAGAATGGCAAACTGGCGCCTTTCATTGAAAATTAAAAATAAATATATTATAAATACAGTATTAATAAAATATTATAATACTGTATTATAAATAATTGTATTACTAAAAATACTGTATGTGTGAAATAATAAATTTTCTTGTTACGCAAAACAACAAAAAGAAATAAAATTATTGTTTAAGAATGGAATTTTTTAGACATTTCTGGTATAGCGAACAGAAAACAGTATCCAATATTACTTATAAAAAAACAATAATGAAATTAAAGGGTGAATACGGCTTCAGTTGCGAAAAGGAACTAAGGAGAGGAGATCACGAATGCGTTGTATCATTGATAGATCCTAAAAGAAAAATTAAAGTGGCAGCTAAAATCGTGAAGAAGCCAAGAATGGAGATAGAAAAGTGGCCTGAACTACTACATCCTAATATTTTACCACTATATGAATATATAATTATAAGTAAGCATACAGCAGTCTTCATCACTCCTTTAAAAATAGGTACCGTTTCTGAGGAGTTGAAGAAAAAAACATTTACAAGTCGACGTGATAGCTTCTTTTTAGGTAGAAAATGGATCTATCAGATTCATTGTGCACTACAATATTTACATAAAAGGCAACTTTACTATTTAAACGTAGGGTTGAGTAATACTTTACTCTCTCAGAACCTAGATGTAACAATTTGCGGATTCAAATATCTAACTTCTAGAAAATTCATTCAAGATCCAAATTTAATCGGATGCAAAAAGAAATATAGATCCCCTGAAGTGTTTTCATTCGAAGAGAGAAACATTAAGGCAGAATTCAGCACTGAAAAAGTAGACATTTGGTCTGTAGGAATGCTCTCCTTGTATATCATGGCAGGAGAAGGGTTAAAAAATAAGCCATTGTATAGAAAAACAATTAATATTGAATGGAGTAATTGGGAAATTGAAGTTGGAAAAACGTTAAAAATATTGCTTAAAGATAAATGGAAACTGAGAGACCTAATGAACTCTACTCATCCATTAGCTAAACTTACACTCGGTAATTCTGATCTCTGTTTGAGTTTCTTGAATATGTTTTTGCAAACATCTCCTAGTAAGAGAATAAATATAGAGAAAGCCATGAGACATTACTTTTTTTATCCTTTTAACAAAACATCGATAATGAACATTGCTATAACAGTATGCAAAGGTAGGAACGGTGTATTTTTAAACTTCATTTCTTTATCTCATCTCTTTGAAAGAAAGAATCTAGATTATCAAATTATTTTTTAAAAGTTATGATAAACTTTTGAATCATAGCATTCAGATAGCAAAGTTAATATACTTTTTCATTCTATATATGATAGTTATATTTATTTTCTCAGTTCTGTTTTCCAGCGTCCTAAATCTCAAAGTTAACGATTAAGAAATTATTGTAATGTCGAAAATTATTTTTCAATACTTTTTCCTGTTTAAAATTCTTTCTTTTAGAGAGAATAAAAAAAAAGCTAAAAATAAAAAATTATCATACTTCTTTTTTAGATCCTAATAGAAGTGCTTCCACTTCTTGTATTAAACGAAAAAAATTATTTGACACTTTTTTGGAGACTCGACGTTCAATGAATGATATTAGTAAGTTCTAATAGTTTAGTTTTTACTTAATTTTTTTTAATTTTTTTAATTTTGCAACAGCAGGAGAATCTCTTTCGGACGATATTTGGAATTCTAAATCCATTCAGAAGAAAACCTACGGTGAGATTTTAATAAAATACTGTACAGGGCTAATTTGCAAATTATACATAATTCAGAATAATTGGACACTTTGCCAGTTAAATCTTCATTAATTTTGCCTAGACTAATAATACCAGACTAGCATTAAATTAGATATTGAATTGATTAACTATATCTCCCATTTTTTACTCTTTTTGCTCTAAAGGCACTAGGACGGCCTGTTTATTTAAATCGTTTCCATCGCGAATTCGGCTGGGCCCACAAGGGAATGGGCCTGAAAAATTCCTTGAGTTACTTCATCCACAGATTACGTCCTTAATCTGTGATTTCGTCCGGATTCGATTTTTGCCCAGAACGGCAGTCTGGCCCTCCACTACATTACTATCCTCCTTTTAATATGAATTGACTGCAATGATAAATATTCTAATTAAGTGACCGACTACTTTTAAAATATTTATTTTTGTATTTGTATTGTATTGTTATCAAATTATAGCGATCAAAATATTGGAATCTTGAAATTATAAGCGGATCAAGGTGCTGCTTATAAAGCCGTTTAAGACCCAATTACTTAGTGTCCAGATTGCTCAGTAAATTAATAACTATTTGTTTCTAAAAGTTAGCGATTATTAATAAATAATTGCAAATGGTATACAACAAAAGTTATAAGTACTTGCTTTTGATAATTGTAAAGTTCATGGGACTCTTGGTCCTCTAAATCTGCCACTGAAAATTCTCATTATTTTATAAAACTTATTACATAATTTGAAATTATAAAAATACGAGGAAAAAGGGCTCAGCCTGTTCCGTCTTTAGAGATGATTCACGCATCCAAACAACACTTACAAGGAAAAGATTATTTATTCTTACTTTCATCATACACGACGCTTCGGCCTATTCAGTGATAATCACTAAAGAGGCTGAAGCGTCGTCACTTTAGCGAAATGAAATGCATTTGATAGGTAAATTATAATTGTATAATGACAGTCTTTTTCTTCGTCCTGGCCTATATCCCAGATAATTTGGGGTCAGCCCGGAATGTCAATTTACGTGGCGTAAATTGACATTCCGGGCTGACCCCAAATAATCTGGGATATAGGCCAGGACGAAGAAAAAGACTGTCATTATACAATTATAATTTACCTATCAAATGCATTTCATTTCGCTAAAGTGACGACGCTTCAGCCTCTTTAGTGATTATCACTGAATAGGCCGAAGCGTCGTGTATGATGAAAGTAAGAATAAATAATCTTTTCCTTGTAAGTGTTGTTTGGATGCGTGAATCATCTCTAAAGACGGAACAGGCTGAGCCCTTTTTCCTCGTATTTTTATAATTTCAAATTATGTAATAAGTTTTATAAAATAATGAGAATTTTCAGTGGCAGATTTAGAGGACCAAGAGTCCCATGAACTTTACAATTATCAAAAGCAAGTACTTATAACTTTTGCTGTATACCATTTGCAATTATTTATTAATAATCGCTAACTTTTAGAAACAAATAGTTATTAATTTACTGAGCAATCTGGACACTAAGTAATTGGGTCTTAAACGGCTTTATAAGCAGCACCTTGATCCGCTTATAATTTCAAGATTCCAATATTTTGATCGCTATAATTTGATAACAATACAATACAAATACAAAAATAAATATTTTAAAAGTAGTCGGTCACTTAATTAGAATATTTATCATTGCAGTCAATTCATATTAAAAGGAGGATAGTAATGTAGTGGAGGGCCAGACTGCCGTTCTGGGCAAAAATCGAATCCGGACGAAATCACAGATTAAGGACGTAATCTGTGGATGAAGTAACTCAAGGAATTTTTCAGGCCCATTCCCTTGTGGGCCCAGCCAAATTCGCGATGGAAACGATTTAAATAAACAGGCCGTCCTAGTGCCTTTAGAGCAAAAAGAGTAAAAAATGGGAGATATAGTTAATCAATTCAATATCTAATTAAATGCTAGTCTGGTATTATTAGTCTAGGCAAAATTAATGAAGATTTAACTGGCAAAGTGTCCAATTATTCTGAATTATGTATAATTTGCAAATTAGCCCTGTACAGTATTTTATTAAAATCTCACCGTAGGTTTTCTTCTGAATGGATTTAGAATTCCAAATATCGTCCGAAAGAGATTCTCCTGCTGTTGCAAAATTAAAAAAATTAAAAAAAATTAAGTAAAAACTAAACTATTAGAACTTACTAATATCATTCATTGAACGTCGAGTCTCCAAAAAAGTGTCAAATAATTTTTTTCGTTTAATACAAGAAGTGGAAGCACTTCTATTAGGATCTAAAAAAGAAGTATGATAATTTTTTATTTTTAGCTTTTTTTTTATTCTCTCTAAAAGAAAGAATTTTAAACAGGAAAAAGTATTGAAAAATAATTTTCGACATTACAATAATTTCTTAATCGTTAACTTTGAGATTTAGGACGCTGGAAAACAGAACTGAGAAAATAAATATAACTATCATATATAGAATGAAAAAGTATATTAACTTTGCTATCTGAATGCTATGATTCAAAAGTTTATCATAACTTTTAAAAAATAATTTGATAATCTAGATTCTTTCTTTCAAAGAGATGAGATAAAGAAATGAAGTTTAAAAATACACCGTTCCTACCTTTGCATACTGTTATAGCAATGTTCATTATCGATGTTTTGTTAAAAGGATAAAAAAAGTAATGTCTCATGGCTTTCTCTATATTTATTCTCTTACTAGGAGATGTTTGCAAAAACATATTCAAGAAACTCAAACAGAGATCAGAATTACCGAGTGTAAGTTTAGCTAATGGATGAGTAGAGTTCATTAGGTCTCTCAGTTTCCATTTATCTTTAAGCAATATTTTTAACGTTTTTCCAACTTCAATTTCCCAATTACTCCATTCAATATTAATTGTTTTTCTATACAATGGCTTATTTTTTAACCCTTCTCCTGCCATGATATACAAGGAGAGCATTCCTACAGACCAAATGTCTACTTTTTCAGTGCTGAATTCTGCCTTAATGTTTCTCTCTTCAAATGAAAACACTTCAGGGGATCTATATTTCTTTTTGCATCCGATTAAATTTGGATCTTGAATGAATTTTCTNAAAAGAATATAATTTTTTTTAGTAAAATATTAATAAAGAAATAATTATTAAATATTTTAAAATAATATATTTAGCTTGATATTCATGTAAAATTATTTTTTATGAATTCTTATTTATTATTTTAGGAGACTTACTTAGAGAAATTTGTTTTGTCTCATAATTTAAATTAAAAATATGGAATATATTGCAAACACAAAAAAGAAATTAATTTTTGTAAATTTTCTATAATAAAATTATATCAAAATTGTTTATTGATTTTAAAACGTTTATTTTCTTATTTTATTTTTTAACAATTTTTTAAATCTATATTATCAAATAATATATATATTTTTTAAATTCATAACTTCAAAATTATGAACATAATTTAATAACAAGCATATTTGGTGGATTAATAAATAAAAAATTTGTTGTTTAAAATTTTTAAAAAGCTGATATTTAATCTACGTAATTATTGCGTCAAAAATATTTACGAAACTAAACACTATATCTGATATAGAATCGTGACGTCATGAGTTATTTTAAAATTTAAAATTTGAATTTATGAAATTAAATCGGTTAAACTGTTAAAAGGAAGAAAGAGAAAATTTCGCAATAATATTTCGCTTTTAATTTTACGTAATTTTGTCTGTGATGAATTTTTTTTATTATAACATTAATATTAAAATAAAATTCTATATGTGCTATATTAGATAACTTATGGTAAATTACTTTTTCTCTATAAAATATGTTAAGTTTATGTTAAATTATCAAACATTTGCAATTAAAAATTATCGAGGAAAATTTTAGTAATTTTAATCTGTAATCGTTATGCAGTATATCGTAGAGCGCGGTAGCGCTTTATAGTAGAGCTCAGCCACGTGTGTAATGTTAAAGTGCCAAATTTGATCGTTAATATCTCCAAGATCAATGAACCGATTTGTATGAAATTTAAAATACTTAGTGTTCACGGTGAATTCTATGAACTTCTGAAATTTTGAATAAATTCATTGGATCGTTTTGGACTTATGCAGTAGGCATTTTGGCGCTTTTTTCGCCTAGATTCTCAACGAGAGAATATGACAGCAAGCTACCTAAGAATCTAGAATGAGCTGCATTAGTGTCCTGCGATGGTATCGATGTTCGATGATTCATCGATGGATTTAAACGATCGATCATCGATGTTTCAAATCCATTGATAATCGCTCTATAACATCGATTGACGCCAGGATGCAACCATGGAGAAAATCAAAATATAGTGGAATCTGGGAAATGTAAAGTTTTTTTAAATTTACCACACTGCAACACTAGTTGGAAAGTTTTAAAAGCTTGTTTGATTATATATATATATAATTGGATTTTCGTTGGAAGACGCGAGAATAAATACAAACTAGTCGAAAATCTCCAGAAAATTTTCAGGGTAGTCTATCCCGGATATGTTAGGCCTCCATTCCTTGCTACCCGATTGCTCCATTGTGGTTCTAACCGAATGTATAAAGGATTTGATTAAAAGGCCAATAGAGCGAAAAGGTTTTTTTTATAAAAATAAACCTGGTTTAAAAACAATATAATTTAAAGTTAAAAAAAGTTGTAGGGAGGTTCATTTCTAGATCGGGTGAAAATTTTAAACGATTTCGTTATTTTTTATATTAGAATTTTTCAACTCGGGGAAGAAAGAATTAAGAAATGATAATGTTTTAAAATAATTATTTCAATTATAAAGTATAGTTTAATGATATTAGTAATAAACATGATATTAAAAATGAATGATGTTTGAGAGTAATAAATAAATCTACTGCACATCTATAACTTCTGTAAAATATAGAAATTATGACTCTGAATTCGAAATTTCATCTTAGTTTTTGTAAAATTATGTTCGATGAATTTTTCAATTGATTATAGTCGATGATTATAACCAGGGCTGTGGAGTCGCGTAAAAATCTACCGACTCCAACTCCGACTCCGACTTTTCCTTACCATCCGACTCCGACCGGCCAAAACACCAAAACTCCACGACTCCGACTCCACAGCCCTGATTATAACTAGTTGAAAAATTGAATTATCGCGCGGTATAATTTAATAATAATATATTATAATTTACGTTTAATTAATTAATTAATTAATTAATAGAAAAAGAAAAATCTTAATAGACCAGTTTGGCATGATCATCGTTTCATTCAAATTATATCCAATGAGATCATTATCAAATAATTGACCCGGTTTCAGAAATTCTGATATCGTGTCAGTTACTGAAAAGCAACTAAAAGTAAATTTTGCTCTTTTAGTTACTTTTATCTACACATTCGCAAAATATTCTTGAGTAATTATAAGCGATTAAGGTTCAAGAATAAAAGAAGTCTAACTCATGACAGATACAATTTCATATGGTCCATCAGTGGCGGAGTACATAAAATCATTGAATGCTGGCAGTTGGGCGCGGATATGCTTGTTCAACGGGATGGCTACATAGAGCCTTTTGTGTTTTCTTTACGTGTCTAACATCTAACTAGGGGCAGTTTCTCATAAAAAGTCCTCCCAGGAGGCACCCTCTGGTAGATCGCCCAATGTTATGTTGCCTTACTCCATCAACCCAATCCAATTCACCCCTATATGAACGGGAAGAGAGGACAAATGACATTTGAATTTTTATTACACTATATTCGAGATTACAGTTAACACATGAAATTGTTTACAGTTAATAGGAACGTATGAGAATTCGGAATATTGATTACTAAATAACGACAAAGATCGTACAAAAGTTTTATCTGGTAATGAAAAGTATTAATGAGTTTATTTACACTTTATCGCAATGTAAATTATAATAATATGCTTAAAATATTTTAACAACGACATTACGAATTAAAACTGAAGATATTATTAATATTTAAAATTTCGATTTAATTATCCGCTAATTAAAATTTTTTTTTAAATGTAAACCGAAACGTACCATGAAACGTACCATAAATAATTTAAAAATTATTATTTTAAAAATTTTTATTTGATTTGATTTAGTAAATTTTTAAGGAGAATTCTTGAAAATATAAATTTAAATATCAAAACAAAAGAAAATAAACAAACTGCCAATATTTATCCGTCAGATGGCGTTAAGGACGAGAGAAGCAAAGTTGAAAAACCTCTAACTCTAATGAGATTGTAAAAAGTTCGAGATTTGTACAAAAAAGGTAGATATTTTGTTTGTCTTAACATTATATATAAATCATATGGCATAAAACACAAGTGATTTTTTGCGCTTTATAATCGATACAAATATTTACACTCATAACAAAGTTTAGTCCTAAATCAGTTGATGTTTTTCATCAGTTTTTATATATCATCTCAACTGCCATCAATTTCTACATATTAAACTGTTTCAACAAGAAATTCAAGTGGTTTAAACTACAGTATTTCAATGCTTTACACTGAATATTATGTTTATCATTGGCATCCATGTAACATAAATGAAGCCATTTTTTTTCAACAAAAGTAGATAAATATGCTCCTTAAATTAATCATAATAAACTCTGTCTCACATTATATGATCAAATCACAATGGACAAATATGCTGTTAAATTTAAAAACTTGTCTGAAGTTTGTATACATTCTTACAATATGTTTTCTAAAAAATACTCTTAGTTAATGTAATGACATGTACAGTACTTTATATATTGCTCATGTTTCTATTCGTATTACATTATGAATGTTTTATTTCAATTTTTCCATGTTACTTTTCATTTTGTACAGTATTCAAATGTGTATCTTTAAACATGTATATACATTTTCTGTTTTATTTAGTTTACAATTGCTGCTAATAAAAAATTTTACAATAATATAATACCTTATAGAAAGTTTTTATTTTGTTTTATTGACAAATCATAAATTATGAATCTTTAAAGATCATTTTCTGTCATTTTTAAAAGTCTGATAGTTATAAAATATACAAATGAATATTTTTTTGGTCTATATTTCACTTAAATAAATTAATGTGCATTTGCGTTATTGTTAAACCATCCTCAAAAATAAGTAATTTCAAAAATATTAACTATTTATAATTTTATTATTTAATTCTGGTAAACTCAAACAAAATGGTAATAATAGTAGTAATAAAAAATGATGCCATTGAATTTTAATCTGACTATAATTTGGTTAATTATAATTAATTAGCCATATTATAGCCTGATTAAAATCCAGCTGTATGATTTGTTTATTACTATATGTCAGGCTTGATTCAAATGTAATTATAACAGAGTAGTGTCAGTTTTTCAGTGAATTAAGAGTATCACTCTAGATGATTGTTTTTCTTTCAAAATTCCTTTCCTTAAAGGAAAGGATGTATAGAAAAGAGTATGACTGATTATATATTATGTCATAATTTATATTACTGAAAATTTTTTAATAATATATTTAATATTTATATATGTAGATAATATTACCATAAAATATTTTGTTGGTTTATTTAATTAGTTCATTCAAATTTTAAATGTAGAATGCAAGAAAATATCTCTAATCATTAACTTGTGCACTATTTTATTCTGTATTCTTTCATTGTTTTAGATAATTTGTAAATTTCATTAATGTAAAACATTTTGTCTTTATTGTTAAAAACTAGGACATGTGGTTTAATATCATCTAAGTTATTGACTATTTTTCTGTTAAAATAATTTTGCAAAAATTGACACAAAGCAATATCTAAGGATAAAATATCTAATAAATATGATGTTATATCAGAACGTCTTGGCAAAAAAACAGTAATTTTTATCAACTAGTTAAAGAAATATGTAATCTGACATTTTAAGAGCTGGCTTTTTATACAAATAACATTTAGCTATCTAAAATTTGATATGTTTGTACAAATATATCAAAGTTTGTATTATGTATACCAGTATATATTTGTACTATAAATATTATTATTAAAATAATCATAAAAGTGTGTGAATCATCAAAATCCAAACTTATTACACAATCTAAACACTGAAATTTTACATAATGTGAAATTGTTGTTAATGATTATTATTAGGTATATATTTTACCATAATTTGAATTTAGTTCACTTTATAAATAATGTTGTCTTTATCCATTAATTAAAAACATAACTGTTTAAAAATATTTTTAATGGAAATAGAGAGATAGGACTACTAATATTAGAGAGTGAAAAATATAAATTAAATTACTACAGTTAAAACTTGTTTATTTTTTCTTCATATCAAATATTACAAATAAAAATATATCTGGCATGCTAAGATACTGTGTTATCTTATTTTTAATTTTCTGTTAATATCTAATAACTTTAATTTTTTAAAACTTATTTTTAGTAGTATTAAAATGGTTGCTTATTTTATTCTATGTTTCTAAATTATGAAATTAAAATTAAGTCAGATTTTTATTTAAATACAATAAAGAGCAATTCAAAAAATGCTTGATTACACATTTAAAAATATTAAATGTGTAATCAAGCATTACTGTTTTTCTTGTCTAAACTTTTGAGCAAGATTTATTATTTTAAAAGAGCAAAATAACTATTTAATGTATTGTGTGTATTTTCTATAGTGTTTAAATTACATTTTTACACTGTTTAAATATATATATTATATTTTATTTTAAATAATTAGAATAGTTTCCTATTAAATGATTTTATTTATATGATAAGCATTATACCAAGTTGTTGCATATGAAATGGCCACTTTTACAATGTAGCAACTTTGAACCTACTTCTTGATATGAAACAGTCTTGTTTGTCTGATAACAAGTTGTGATCTGTTCTGTATACTGTGCACTGATATAGTAAATTAACATATGGAAGATATATCTTTACCCTGAAAATATCATAGTGTGCACTAATTATTGCTCTAATATTCTTTTTCATACTTGTCTGTAGTCATCAGATTTGTTGTAAAAAACTTTTGGCAGGATTATAATTTACTAGCTCTATTGAGTAACTTCACACTTTGCTGCATATTTTAAAAGCATCTCCATTACCTAAAAATGGGCTAGTCTAAGTTAGCAGTTCTGATCAGCCCTGAATGAGTGAAATTAGTCACTGGTATATCTCGAGATTCCTCCATGAGTGAGCATTCATTGTTCACTCTGACATTTTAAGTCAAATTATCAAAAATTGACTTTAAATTTTAAATGTACTACGGAAAATCAGTTAAATAAATATTTTTGCCATTATTCATTCATTTAATCCATTTTCCTTAAAAAATTTCAGCAACTAGCTTTAAATTAAAAATTTTTTCCAGACTCTATTGCTCTAGATTCCTGTTTTAGCCATTCCGTAGACTTCACTGAATGAATGGGAAATCATCTCTGTTTCCATTTCTTGATCCTCTGTATCTTTACACTCACAAAAAATGATGCAATGCCACTAGTACTGTGTATACTAGTTTCATTCAATGTCTTATGAGAAGTGTGTAAGTGGGCTTTGAAATTGACCATTTAGTCAAATTGTATAATTTTGTTTTTAGGCCAAACCAAGGCATAATGTAACTGAAATGGTTTGAAAATTAATAGAGTATTTAGAGAAGAAACAGCAAACAAAAAAATACTTTAATACTGGTTTCAAAAATTCTGTTCAAGAGACATAAGCCTGCAAAATTAACAATATATATGCTAAAACTATTGACAATGACCAATTGACCCATTCAACAAATATTTAGGTTATGCTAAGTTAAATAGGATATTCATTATTCAGCAGTGTTCAGACACTTGATTGCTCTAGAGAGCAAAAAATTAAATAAATGGATGCTCTATGAGAGACAAACCACTTGGAGTTAAGCAATTCTGTCCTGAAAAAAAAAACACAAAATGATAGTTTTGCTTTGCATTGTAACATGCAATGAGAAGTAGGTCCTATATGAGGTAAAGTCAAGAAGTCTATCCATAAAGGATCTATCAATAGACATATTATCTTGCTGCTGTTTTGGAATGTTTTGTGTTGCATGCATCCACTTGTCACAAAACATTCCAAAAAGTATAGCTGGTGAGATTCCCTTATTCAGCACACTCACCTGACTTTTTGCCAACAGACTCACTTTTTTAAACATGAATATTATTTTGAGAAAATATTCATGTAAGAAACAGTCATACATTAGGCTTTTGAGGATTTCTTCTTCATATGCACATTCAAGTGTGAAGAAACAGATCTCCTGTTGGCTTTAACTGCAAAACTTATAAACTTGGAAAAATTACAAAAAATTTCCTATGGATGAACTTTAAAAGTTTCTCCTTCCTTTTAGTCCCTTCCGTATGTCCAGAACATGGCCATTTTGCTGTTAAAAATCCAAAAGAAAGATTAATGAGATGATTCTAGATGGGAAAGCTCCAGGATATGCTGATGATACAAATGGAAAAACTTGACATGTGGGAAAAGAAAATACCTGAATTGGCAGAGGCAAGGCTTAATCCTGATGGAGGGATACAGAGAGCTGAAGTCCAGGAAGGTTAGGTACTTCTTGTTCATTAAACTAATTTCCCACAGTTGATTGGCTACTTTAAGCAGATCAGTGACAGTGAAACTATAGTCCAGTAAGTTAGAATGGATAATGTTATGTAGGCTTCTTTTCAACAATTGCATGGGAGAAGAGGTTTTGAATTGGGTGTAGAAGCCTCTCTGGTTTATGGGTTTTGGCAAAGGCAAAAAGCTCGGAGTGGCTATAACAGCTAGATACCCTAACAGTTTTGCAAACTTAGTGGAAGAAAATCATACAAATTGTCTCTGTAGTTTGCCCAGAAAGTCAAGTAGCTAGTCTGCTACCTCTGTACATTCTATAGTATATATCTATCCAATTCCATTTAGTACGTGTCTTTGTTTAATAATCACTGCCACATTGTTTTTATCCACGTGTAGAAAAGGTTTGATTGTACTCTAAACTTCCTGTTCTAGTTGCATATATTGTATATAATTTTTTCATATTAAAACTAATTGATTAAAGTTAGGAAATTCTTGTTTTGCATCCAAAATGGTTCATTATCATTTTGTATGCAAAACAAAATACTTTCATATTCATATTTACAAATTCAATATATCTGTAATAAATGAATGATTTATCAATTTTCTCTACAAACTCATTTATGTATGTAGTCACATTTAAGATATCACAGAGCCAGATTCTTTATCAAGCTACTCAAGGATACTTAATTATTAAACAATCAGGCTAGAAATAGATGTATTAGGAGATAGACAATA